AAAGTCTCTTATTGCACAAATAACTCATAAGCTAAGCAACCTTTAGGTACATCTGCAACATTTTGTAACTAAAGTGCATTTTTATTGAAGAGCAGACTCATTATATATTCGCTTTAGCTCCTTTGGTTGGTCAGCCGATTTTCTTCGACGTGGGGTGAATTTGTTCGAAATGTTCGTTTCCAATGAATTTTCACCAACATCTTTCAAAATGATTGTAAAACCGATCGGATGGCAAACTAAAAATTTCCATACAACCGTTTTCCATACGTTATTCCCATCTGCTGGTGGATTTTCCTAAAAATCCCGTCTTAGCGAGCACTTATGTGCAGCCCTTGAGGTAACTACAGAAAATAATGCTACACCAAAGCTCTTATGGTTCAGGGCTGTGCATTGATCACCGGTCAGCCAGTTAATCACTTGGTCACTCAGTCAATCAATCAGTAACGTAGTCGATCAATCAGTGAATCACTAAGTGAGTCAGTCAGTCAATCAGTAACGTAGTCAATCCATCAGTCAGACAGTTACTAAATTACTGAATAAATTAGTCAGTCACAGAGCTAGTCAATCGGTTAGTCAGTCAGTCAGCCACTTAGTCAACCAACTAGTCAATCAGTTAATCGGTCAACCTTTAACCTAGTCAATCGTTCAGTCAGACAGTTACTTAATTACTTAGTCAGTCAGTCTCTCAGTAAATCAGTTTTTGTATAAGACAGTCATTCAATTAGTTAGTCAGTCACTCAGTCAACCAAGTAGTCCATCAGTCGGTCAATCAGTAACCTAGTCAATCAATCATTCAGACAGTGACAGTCAGTCTCTCAGTCAATACATTTTTTAATAAGACAGTAAGTCTATCAGTCAGTCATGCAGTCAATCAAACAGTTAGGCTATCAGTCAGTCAAGCAGAAACGTTGTCAATCAATCAGCCAGGCAATCTTTCAGACAGTAACTTAATCACCAAGTCAGTCACACAGTCAGTCAGTCAATCAGTTAGTTCATCAGTCAGTCAATCAGCTAGTTAGTCAGCCGGTTAATCAATCAATTATAAAGATCATGCAATCACTCAGTCAACAGCAGTAAATCAGTCAGACAGTTAGTTAATCAGACACTGTCAATCAGTCATTCAGTTAGTCCCTCAGTTAGTCAATCACTTAGCCAGTTACACAGTCAATCATAAAGATAGTCCATCAATCATGAAATCAGTCGTGTCAACAGCAGTAAATCAGTCAGACAGTTAGTTAATCAGACACAGTCAATAAGTTAGTTCATCAGTCAGTCAATCAGTTGGCCAGTTACACAGTCAATCAGTTAATCAGTCAGGTCAAACAGTCAAATATATGTATAGATAAATACAAGCGTTGTTTATTTGATTTAATATTCTATTTGCTTGATTCAAGCTCTGAATCTTTGCATTCATCAGTTGATTTGCTGTTTGCCTGCGACTTCCTCTCGCTGCAGCTGTTTTCTTTAAATATTAGCTAATGCTAATTCCGATAACACATGCGCCTATCTCTGCTATATAAACACAAACTAGCAGTATGTAAATAGATTTTATATAGCTACACGTGCCTGTTTGTGTGCGTGTGTGCAGCCAAAAACTCACACATTTCCACATTTCCCATAGACAATTCTCAATTGGAAGCTGTGGCTGCGGGGGTTAACAAATGCGCGGGCCTGCAATATCTCTGCGGGGAATGCATGCGGAGAAACAAAAAGCTCAGCTTCAAGGTTTTTGTTGTCGTTGTTTTTGTGGTTGTTGTTTTTGATGGCAATTTGCTTTGATTTAATTCAATTTAACAGCATCGCCAGCTCGCAATTTGCCATTTTAAGCGTCATTTTGCGGGCCAAAAGGGTTGCCACCCTTGGCTTCAGCGTTGCCACTCGATTGGCTGGGTTGGCGGCTGGCGGGGCCAGTCTTGTCGTGCTTGTTACGGCCAAATTTCCACCTCATTTTGCAGTTTGCATAAAATTGTGGGGGGAGAGAGTGAGAGTGGGGTGAGGTGGGATGGGGTGGGTCTGGGCAGGTTAAGCGGTACCAGGCTGCCCGCTCAAGTGTCATTCAACCGCGAGGACACGCAAACAGCTAGCAACAACAATTCGGGGGCCAACAGCAGGCGACACTCGCCAGTTTTAATGATTATTTGCATGTTGCACGTACAAAAGGCAACTGTAACTGCGACATGCATATAAATAATAAATAATAATGTGCCTCGCCCCGACTGGCGACTACCCTGGCCAGGCTTTAGTTGCTCCTCCACCAAGCTCCTAATGCATTGCGTCCAGTTGCGGGCCGTGTCTTCACTTCTGATTGAACTTGATTGACAAGTTGTGCTACCTATAGTTGCTGCTTTCATTGTTGTTGTTGTTGTTGTCGTTCCTGATGTCTCAAGTGGCCCATCGAAGCACCGAGCTTCGATCGCTGACTCATGCAGCCAGCTAAAGTTGGCGACCGACTGCGTTGGTGTCCAATAACCCGGCCTGAAATTCGAGCAGATGCCTCACGCCCTGCCCCTCAACTCCCCAAAGAAACACACGCACCCACGCATGCTTAGTTAGATATTATATACTCCCTGTGGCGTAAGCATTATGTTACATATGATATATGTACATATGTGGTTGGTTGGAGGGAAGGTGCTAGGGAGCCGGGATTATAATTAAGAAATGTTGATTACAAAAAGTGGTGTCCATTTAATAAGTTCTGTTATAGAAAAGTATTCATATTACACACAAACGTTCTGCTAGTTGGCATAACAGCACTTTCATCCAATTACAGGGTATACAACAAGACGAACTATTCAATTAAACAAACAGAACGCGTTTTATATGCACAGCAAATTATTTTTTACAATTACAGGGTATATCAAACTACTACGCTGAGTAGTCTTCCAGGGTATAACACCTGTCTCTTTTACGTTCTCTGCGAAAATAAACCCTTATATTGCATTTAATGCATCTTTTGTTTGCATCCCACTTTCTCTCCATGAACAGGGTATAACACTAGTCGAGCTTTTCAAACAAACGTCTATTATATAAACGTTTTAATTGATAAATTTCCACGTTACTTTTCTCGTTGCAATTTTCTGCACTAATTAAATTGGATTGGATAATTGAATCACAACCGCAATTACAGGATATGTCAATAGTTGTGCGCGTTGACTATTAAAAAAAAAAAAACAAGATGAAGAAAAAATAAAAAAAGCTTTCATATTTTTTTAATGAGTGCCAATGAAATTTCCGTTAAGCCAACCGTTTTTCTGTACCGTTAACTTCCGCTGGGCCAGCTTAAAAGTTACCCTGGCAACTCTGGGCCAAAACTTGTGCCAGCTCCTTGCTGTATCCTTGTTCTTGTTCTCGATGTTGTTGTCGTTGTTGTTGTTGCTTTTGTTGTCGTGGCGTGGCGTGGCGCAGTGTTGCCAATTCAATTAAATTTTGCACCCAAAATGGGCACCAGGGACAAAAAATTAACTTTCCAGACGTACTTTTACACATTTTCGTTTCGTTTTTTCGGTTTCGTCCTTATTTTTCATTTTTTTCCATTTTTTATTTTTTTTATTTTTGGCAGCGCAGCCAACTAACAGCAACAACAAAAAAAAGCAAGCCCAAACAGCAGAAAACGAGCTGCAAGTTATTCAATTAAAAGTTCACTCAATACCCAGAAACAAATTCGTCTCTCCTCTCTTCCAGCTCTTCCCTTCCCTTCCGCCCCGTCCTCGTTTATGTTAGCATCCTTCGAACTGCGGCCCGGTCTAATGGACGCTTGGCTTGGTCCAGTTGCCAGCCGGAGTCAATATTCTTTTAAATAACGTGAACGTGACTTCTGTACGGATATAACAGCAGGCCAGTTCTGCAGTACTTAAGGAAATATGACCACACTGTCAGCCCTGCTGATGTTTATTAATCGTTTTGCCAGTTATCGATTACATTTGTTTCTTTTTTTTTTTTTTTTGAGTGGGCACAAAAGCAATTTTTCGCAGAAGCGTGACTTGTTTGGTTTAGGGTGTAAGGACTGTGTAAGAGCGGCTGAATTTTGCAATGAAATATGAGCACACATTTCCATTTAATTACGCACATTTTAATGCGCAGTTATCGATAAATTTCTAAGCGTGCCAGCTTCAATAACGCTTTCAATAAAGTACCACTATTGGTACAAACTGTTGTTTATCCAGAAAAAGTGGAAGCATTATGACAATGCTTTAAGTTTTTATATCAAGTAAGGACCTACGGTTATCGATAACACAGTTACGTACTTAATTCAGCGATAATCACGACTAAGAGCGTTGAAGATAAAAGCTTTAGTTACAAATACTGATCAATCTGCATTTATCGATGGCATAAATAAGCTTCAATTATTAATCGATTTCCTTTTATCGATGACATTAATTTACTTACAGTTATTGATTGCTTTTCATTTATCAATATAAAGGGGAGTCAAATTCACAGCCTTAATTAAGGGAATTATTGATTGACCTGCACTTATCGATAACATCAATTTCATTACAAGTCTTGGTCGATTTGCATATATCGATAACGTCAAAGGGAGCTTTCATCCAAATTCAAACTACCTTATTTCTTAGTTTAAACTATAACTATAGATCGACTTGCATTCATTGATAACAATAATTAATTTTACTTGGACTTTTATAGAACGGCAACATCAATTTTCATACTTCCATTATTCATCTATTTCATTTATCGATAACAACAATTATTTTACAATAATTAATCGACTTGCATTAATCGATAGCTACAAAAATATATTTCAATCATTAATTGATATGCATTAACCGATAACATCAATTTATTATCGAATTGAATTACAATTATTAACTGACCTGCATTTATCGATAACATTAATAGGAGTTTTTACTCATATATAAACCACTTTTTCCCTTTGTTAGTTTGTTAGTTTTATGAACTTTTATATTCATTTGCAGCTATCGATAACATTGAAAAGTGACTACTCAAATTTTAACCATGTTGTCTCTCCTCCCCTCTCTTTACAGAGCCTGGGCATCTTGGCCTCGATACCCGCCGGCCTGCTGATACTCTCGCTGCTCGGCCTGCTCCTGTATCTGCTGACGCGCTGCTGCGATCGGAAGCAGCGCAAGCCGAGCACCCAGCGCTGCCAGAGCTGTTCGCTGGTCATCATAACGTTGATGACCTGTGCGGCCATTGGACTAGGTAAGTGCCGGGGTGCATTGAACCCATTTACCATAGACTATATACTGTAGGCCCACGCCAAAAATTCCCACTCGGCCACGCCCAAAGCTCCAGAAATGCACGTACCCGTCGCGTGTTTAACTTGGCAATTAGCCAAAAGTCGATGAGGACGACCGCCTGCATTTGCTCCATTACGTGCGCGGCTTGGGCTTTGGCACGTATCTGGATTTATGGGCGAGCGATCGCCGCCAGAGTCGCGTCACGTGTCAGGCATGAGCGGAATATGAGTGGAACTAGCCACTAATAAAAAATCAACCCAACTGTGCGGCAGCAAAGAGTCGACCACTTAATTTGTACATTTCGGACTAAAGTATGTCAAAGTGGCAAAGGTAATGCCCCAAGTCAAATCGAGCTGAGCCCCATCAACAACTGCGACTGCGACTGCGACTGCGACTGCGACTGCGGCTGCGAGTGGCATCATTATAATCCAGCCTACGCATACAATAAAACTAATAATTTAATTAGCGCTCTTAATTGACGCAAAAATGTGTCCACGAGCTTTGCTCTTGCCGCACATCGAATGCGGTCACTTGTTGAAGCTCGAGGGTTGAGGGGAAGAGCTTGCAATACATCAAAATGTCTCTCTTTGCTCTCACTTCCTCTTATTCATATGTCTAAAACAAATCAAAGATTCTCTCCTAGAATCTCCAGAACTTTAAAGAGGTGTGTACACATCGATCTGTGTACACATATACATACATATATCGAAAGAATATGACTCTTTTATCTTTTTCCAACACTTAAAATGTTTGTAAACTTGAATGAACCCTGGGTGAGGGCATCCCAATTTCTGTACAGATCAAAAAGTATATCAAGGCGCAAACTTACGCCTCTTCTGACTTGGTTCCAATTACGCTGCCATTTTTCTCCCCCACTTTGATACCCTATGCCAAGCACTTGTTAAAGTCGTATATTGCCGCTCTGCTAACTGTTCCCCTCCTTTCTCTTTCAGGTTTATATGGCAACGATGATTTCCACAATGGTCTGCTGCAGGCTTTCAGCTCCGGCAAGAAGGTGGAGAGTCTTGTGCTCAATCTTAAACAAGAGGTAAGTAATGCCTAAAAAGTTTCAGAACAAAGTAAAAGTTTCTCAGGAAACATAATTGAAAATCACTTATATATGGAGCATACTTAATGAGTTTGCGAATTGTTGAAAACTATTTACTTGCCTTGTTGCCTGCAGAGCCTGAACTTAATGGGAAACATGAACTTAACCTACTGCTGACATAATTGTTAACATAAAGTTTGAATATCTAAAGTTTGACTGAATATACAATTAACTGGAAGAAAGTTTCTTGAACGACATTTTTTAAGATTTGACTACAAAAACAATATCGATAGAAATATGTGATATGCTTAAGCTCTTTGTTGAATTCGTTTTAGTATTATGATATGCATATCTAAGTGCTTAATTCATTGTGAATTTACAATGTTGAATGTTAAATGAAAATTGAAGTATGTATTTATTTAATTTATATATCAAAAGCAAAGACTCCGACTGTTCAAAACAGCTATCGACCGATTGCAGCCCATCGATTAATCGCTATTGACGAGGCGTGCAGCCCTGGCACTTTTCACGACATACAACACTGTACTTATGTATATGGGCCTTGCACTGGAATAGATCAGAAATTCAAAAAAGTGGTTTGGGTAATTTCTCATCTTTCTAATTTCATAAGTAAAAGGGACTAAACCAATTGATTGATCTAGAGATGAAATGACGAACTTATTAGATTCATTGCAAAAAAAATCGTAGTAACTACTTAGTTATGCAGCCCTGGCAATTTGCCAGCATACAACCCTGTATCCGTAAAACCGTTTTATGGACAAACTCTTTATTGTCTAATTAATTTTAGGATTATTTTGTTCTTTACAAACACTTTCGTTATGAGAGTGAAAAGGTTATAGAATATTTTAAACAAGCCGCCTACGCATCCTTACGATCGTGATCCATCAAAACGCGTGTAATTTCCGTGCGAAACTTGAGCGTATTGTCATTGGACAGTGTTCTCGTGTGTGCTATGAAGGGCACAAAGGGCAGCATTTGGGGCGACTTGCCCCAATTGGATCGATTCGACCGAATTCGACCCATCGACAAATTCGATCCAATGTTCCCACTGCCCACGCCATTTGGATATCGGTTATTATCGATAATTGTATAGTCGCCGATATTCGGCGGGAAGGGCACCCGTGAACATGGCGCCAGCTTGCTGGGATCGACAACGTTACGCAGAATTTCGAGTGCCTGGAAATAGGACCAGGTCGATCTCTCGGCTCGTTTCTGTTGGATTTTGCGTATCTCGTTGCGATAAACGTTGCGCAGCCCCCAGAAACGCGGCTTACACTCGGGCACTATGCAATTTAATCCATATCTCATGATTTGCTCGGGCGCTTTCATTTTCCAATTACCCTCCATCTGTACTGCCCTCGATACCTCTGGCCAATGCATGTGATGCATGGCCCTGGTCTTTGTCCATAGAGCGCGCCGTTTTTCTACCTCAAATATCAGGCGAATGTATTCAATATCCATTTCACACGCTTGGCCAAAAACTTTCGATACGTTTGTGTTTTATATTTTTAATAACAAAAAATTGTATATCCTCTGCCAACGAAATGCAAATGCCCAGGGCTGCCAAAAACGTGAAATGAAAATAAAATTCCAGGTGTGTAGCTCTACAGGCTCAATGTTTGAATGAATTAACGAAGTAAACGCGATTCTTGAACTTTTACAGCCAAAGGCAAGGCTTGCTTGCATTATCATTTGCTCAGTGATATATTTGAATGAATTAACTAGAATTTAGATTCGGTTTGAATACATATATGTAGATGAACTTCCGCAAAGCCTTCAACCTTTTTATTTGCACTCCGTGCAATTGCTTTTAAGTTTATTTTCAAAGATCTGTTCGAAAATCCATTTAGAATTGGTCTTGCTGCTCCACCTGGTCCTACATTAAATTCACTTCGCAAGGCGGAAAATAAGTGAAAACTGATAGCTTACAATCTTAGGTCTGTTTCTATACTTAGAAGTAGCTTATGCTGTTAGACCTCTAATGCCAGGCTTTCACGATTTCTTCAGTTTCAAAATTATGCCCATATGTTGCCGTTTGAGAGATGACATGCCTTAAAAATACTTAAAGTGTCGCAACACACTGCAAATTAGAGAAATGGAATAAACATGCAATTACTGTACTGAGCTTATGCAGGTGTCTATTGAAAATGCGTTTGCCTAATGCTGCATTTACACAAGCACAAAGAGAGCTGCCAAAAAGATGCAACTTTTAGAAAATTGCCAACGGGTGGCAACACTTTATCTGCAATAAGCAGCTTACGGATAGATGTGTTCGTGCGAAAAGTTAAAAATGCTTGTAAATTGCAGAAGCAAATTCAAATGTTGCCTGTTGGGTGAAGGCTTAAAACAGACTATACGACAAATTAATTAAGAGTTCGTTTTGCCAGAGCAGACATCTAGCCGTAAGACTTTTTCGGAGTATTTATTCCAAGTTTCAAGTTTTTTAAAGCAATTAGATAAAGAATTAGATAAGCGCATGGACATGGCGTAAAATCCATAAACTCTTTAAATGATGATAGAGTTTAAAACCGTTTTCGCGAATTATGGCGTTGCCAGACTTTACGCAATACGCAGCTAAGTTGGCTGCTCCTCATCACATTAAATCAGATTAAATTTCAATTGCATTTGCTAAGTGTGGGCGCCAAAGCCAAAGCAGATATCGATAAACACATTTCATTCAATTAATGCACTTCTTAACTAATTTTTTTAATGGGTTGCGGCGACGGTGATGGGGGGGGGGGGGGAGTGCTTGAAATATATTCCGTTACACAGCGCATACCTATATCCAACACTGATTTCCCCCTCCCCCCCAGTCGCCACAACTGTAACTTCCCACATACACACAGGCACACACACACACACACTCGCACACGCACACAGACACATCTCAGATCTCTAGACAGCGGCAAGAAGTGGGCAGGATAAGCGGAGCTGCGGGGGAGACGCGTTGGCTTTTGCTATTCATAAACTTTGCCAGCTTACAGACACACACACACACACACATGTGTGTATATATGTATGTAGTCTTTATATGTATGCATGCATGCATATATGTATGTATTTGTATATATTTAGATATGTATGTAGATATTCACATTTATATGTTTATACGTACATAAAAGAAGCCGATAAGGCAAAAGGTTAAGAGAGCGAGTCGGAGCAAAAAAGTGAATGCGACAGTGCCTGGAATCATGGTGAGCGGGGGGGGGGGGGGGGGTGTAGTGTGGTGCTTAGGCTCAGCGAGGAGCGTAAGGGGGGCGGGGCGGGGGGCAGCAGTGAGGTGCGGACAAGTTGAGGCTGCGGCCCAAACAGATGGCTGGCATTGCTTGGCCCTTGAGTAAAACGCTATTAATTATCTAGGCACAGGACTAAACACACACACACACACACTCGTTTGGGTGGCTGCCAGACGGTGGGCGGGGCTCTGTGCGTGCGTCTGCTGTCGCTGCTTTTAGGCAAGCTCTCGACCCTACGCCCTGTCACGCTTTCCATGTCTGCCGCCCCCTCTGCCCTGCTGCCCCCTCGGCCCGTCTACCCTTCTGCAGCCCCCTTCGTTTTTGTGCTTTCTCTTTGCTTTGGCTGTGTACTTTAATCCTTGCACAAGTGCGGAAGCAAAAGCATTATGGGTTAAAAAAAAATACAAATAAAAATAAAGGGGAAAAAAAAACTAGTATATTTATGTGCAACGTTTTCGTCCTTTGTTCCAGCGGGTTCTGTCTCCCCTCTATCAGTGGCGTCTGTCTGTTTGTGTGTGAGTCCTTTTTGCGCGACGCTTTCCCTTTGCCCACTTTTGGTCATTAACTTTTGAACTGCTCTCACCTGCCTCTGCTGTGAGTCAGCGGCTCGGCTCAGAGCTTAAGTAATGGGACAACAAAGAGCCGAACTCCCCAAACCCAGACTCGAACTCGAACTGGATCCCACAGCCCGTGCTGTCCAACTATTATGCGCACTTTCAATGGGATTTCGGGGGTAGTTGTCGCCGGATATCGCTTTTATAATCACCAGCGACAACATTCTGTCAGCGAGAACAACTTTAAACTAGCCAAATTACTTCTACTTGTTGAGACTTCGAGTTGGACCAGCCCGGGAAAAGTCTAGCCGGGCTGTCTCGCTTAGGCCATATCCTGCGCACTTTCAATTGGATCAAAATGCGTTGAAAGTTCTATATTTCTGTTAACTTGCCATTGAAAAGGATTCATTTTGATTGATTGACTGACTGAGTGACTGATTGGTCTTCAACGCGCAGCCTGAGCTGAAATTTAAGCTCAATTTACCCGTAAATGTGGAAAATAGATGGAAAGCGGTTGTATGAAACTTTGGTGTCCAACATCCGATTGGCCTCAAATTCAATTTCAAAGATTTTTGTTAATATATATTTAAGATGTGTTTTCGCACTTTTCGCAAAATACATCCCTCTTAAGTGGAAAAGGTTGGTCAAAGGTTGCAAGGGCGCAAATTCAAATGTGAAATGTGATTGCGGCCAATCCACTCCGCTGAGTGGAATTGTTGTTTAAGGCAATTTAGATTTCCCACAGCCTGGAGCCTGGCTCGGGCAAAGCCGGATATTATTTGCTTATATTCTGTTTAGCTCCTGACTCTGGCAAATGTTCCAAAGTGAGCCACAAATCATTTCATCAGATTTTAAAGCTTGCCGGACTTGAGCCAGCTTGCAGCGTTGTGTCAAGCAATAACTTCTATAAGCTGTGCAATCATTATTGGAATTTCTTGATCTCATCATCACATCTAATTTACACAAACTTCGTTTTGTTTTTCCTTTATTGACAGACTGAAACCATCAAGCGCGATCTGGAAACGAAAATGGCTTCGCACAACGTGGTGAACCAGGTGGAGAGACAGCAATACAATCAAACCGCTGTCATGCTGCTCATTGAGACGTCCCGTCTGGTGCGGGAGAATACCTCGCGTGCGGTCACCTCGCTGGACAACATGGTGCTCTACTTCATGAAGACCAAGGGCAGCGAGAATGAGACCTCGCTGATGGGCATTCTGCACGTAGGTCTTGCCCAGCTTCTAATCGAAGAGCCCGTTTTAATAAAGCTTCTCTCTCTGTCTCTCTCTCTCTCGCTCTCTCTCTCTCAGCTGGGCGATCTATATGAATCTATACGCTGGCCGGCCACATTGGCCTTCCTCACCCTGCTCCTATTCCTGTGCACCGTGCTGGTCATCGGCGTTGCCCGTCGCTCGCGCTGCACTTTAATTTTCTTCAGCGTTTCCGGCTTGTTCTGCATCATCATCTGCTGGCTGTTGGCTGGCATCTATTTGGCCTCCAGCGTGGCAGCCGGCGACTTTTGTATGCGGCCGCATGAGTATATGTGCCGCCAGGTGGGCATGGTAAGTACCCAACTCCCACACGCACACACACGCACACACCTAATGTCCTCTTTTTCTATTTGTGTTTATAGCGCAGTCCCTATGTCTATTTCCTCAACTGTGGCACGTTGCGCAATCGCTTTATACTGCGCCTCAACGAGTCTCGGGATCTGGTGGAACGCGCCCGTGAGAGCGTTGAAATGATGCAACGGTAAATACACCATCAAATATCACCAAAAGCAGTGAATATTGGGTGGAAATTGTTTAAAAAGGAGTTTAATTACTTTACGATCGTTTTCAAATCTCTATCGATACCGCTAGCTTAGGTGGAAAATAAGGGAGAAACTTTAGTTTTTGTCCGTTCGACTTAAAACATATTTTCCAAGCTCTTGCTGTATGAAATATTCACCTTCTACAGCGGAAAATGGGTGAAATGGGTCTTTGCCAGTCTGCATCTTTAATTAATAAACCTATTTCGTATCTTTGGCACAGCATGAGCCAGGACACGTATCCACGCATCGACATACAGCGCACGCTTAACGCCATGGACAACGATCTGGAGGAGACAAAACGCAATCTGACAAATCTCTCGGCCACGCTGGACAGACGCGCCATCGACCGGCACTATGCGGAGGCGTTGCACGGCCTCTGCGGCGGCGGCCTGCTCGGGCTCAGTCTGATGATGGTCGCCGGCCTGTTGACCTCGTTTCTGCTCACGATACTCGTCTATGCGGACTCGCATGCCTGGATTTATCTGAGCAAGCGGTAAAAGTGCAGTTCATTTTGCAAATTGAGCCATATTTGAGATCTTTTATATTGTGCATTGCAGGCCCACGATGGATGGCGACAAGTCGGAGACGGCGCCGCTGTTCTCGGCCTCGAATGCGCCAAGCGCCAGCATTTCGCCAACGGCGCCCATGAGCACCGGCACCATCAATCGGACGCTGCTGCATCATCAGCAGGCGCATGGTGGTCCCATTGGTGGCAGCGTTGCCGGCGGCGCTGGAGCCGGGCACACGGGCACGCTGCCCAGCAGCAACAGCTTGGCTGGCGGCAATGGCGCCGGGCCCTACAGGAATGGCACAGCGGGCCTGCGACAAGGGTTGGCATCACCATCATCACAATCAAGCAACAATACATCATCTACTACAACTTACCACCACCACAACAACAACCACAACAACAACCACCACTACAACCACAACAATACACAGCATAGAACTAACTCAGCGGCAGCGGCGGCGGCTGCGGCGGCGGCCTCATCGCTGTCCAGCCGCTCCAATGGCGGCCGCCGTTCGCCGTCGCCGCCGCCCGGCTATGATTTGGTGCATGGCACAAGGCATGAAGTTTAATTTTATTTTTATTTCCTTTCGTGTATTTCTTAGTTTTAGTCGTAGCAGTGCCTTAAAAGATAGTCGATCGCACAGTTTCCTTACATTTCTATATATTTATATTTTTCATTTGCTTTTTAATTTGTCCTGTGTACATTATGTTTGTTTCATCCAGTTGTCTTTGTTTTTTTTTTTTTGATTTCATTATTATTTTCGATTTTCAAATTTTTCATTTATATCCCGTTGTTGTTGTTGTGTGCCCTCTGCCCAGCACTTGGCCACGCCCAACTGCATGACTCACATGTATCTCATACGTATTTCGTAGTAGTTCAGATCACAGTCTATAAACCCAAAATGCGGGTTTATATGCATATATCTTTATCGTACATGGACAACACGCATAACGCACACACGACATATGCACCAGCATTAGGGGTAGTCATGCAATAGGGTGGCACATTACTTAAATATTCTATATAACACCATTTGCGACTGATTCGGCTTTTTAGTTTGATCGGTTCAGTTATAATACCCATGCATATCTAACACCATTCGGGCTTCTTGCCATGTGTACAGTAGCATTTGCCTATAAACAACAGGCTGTGGGAAAATATATAAATATATATTATTATTAAAAAGATGTATATGTATTAAGATTCAAAAATTAATACACATATACATATATTCATTCTGTTTTCATCCAAATAATAATTTATATATTATCTATGAGAGGAGTTTGACCATAAGCCATATTTGCCTATATATTTATAAATATATATATCATCCATAAAATACAATTAGGATTTTCATGCTCAAAAAATGTGTCTAAATTTTGAAACAAATTTGAAACCAGGAAGAAACATGAATTGCATTTCAAAGTTCATTAAAATTTAGATCATTTTAGATAAGTTTAACATTTCCATTGCTGCAAATATTCCTATACAAATATGTTATCAACTGACTGTCAGTTGTTATCTCAGATAATATGAATAGAAAGAGAGAGGTAACATTAATGAGCTTTCATTGGGTTTCTTAGTAAAATGAAAAGCTATACTATTTAGTCTCTTGATAGGGTTGGAATAAGTTACAGATTTGCAGTTAGTAGTTGGTTTCTGATCTACTTGATCTGCTTTCTACAACTTGTAGCAGTTACTTCCATTAGTTGCCAATAGAAAAGTAAGAGCTGATCGTTTCGTAATGAAAATATTTTACATAAAACATAAGCACGTCTTTTTTTTTTTATATATATATTTATATAATTAACGCATTAAGTATTAGGTTTCTAAGTTAATAAAGATCAAAAAAAAATTATGTCTTTATGTGGCGACATGTTCCATAGGTAAATATTCAGTCATAGAGGGAGTAGCTCTAATTAAAGGCGAAATTTAAGTGCACCTCATTTTGATTGTAGAAAAAGAGCTTAGAGGGAGAAGTAGAACAGATCTTATAAATTTGCACTAGGCTAGATCGCCGCAGTTCAGAGGATTTTTAACATAAATGTTATAGAAAAAAGTGAGAATAATAGACTGGGATAAAGTTTAAAAGAAAGTTGTATAAATATATTTATTTTTTTATGCGTTAGCTCATTGTAAATATACATATATATATTATGAATTTTGTATATTAAGTTGAAAAAAAGCAATATCATCGCTGTTCATGTGCCTGACTACCCCTAATGTTGCTGCAACTAGTTAACGTTTTAGCCTACACACTAGCAACTGTTGCAATTGGCCTGCCATTAACAGCAAATTACTCACATATATATGTTTACCGTTATGTGTTCACAGATCGGGCCACCATACGCTGGGTCGCCTGCCGTCGCACCACCAACAGTCGGCGTCGTATCTGCCCGGCCCGAACAATGGCAAATACGCGACGCTCAGCAAGCAGTGTAAGACGCTCGAATCGAACGACTTCTACTGAGATTCGCTTGCCTGCAGCACGTATGCAGGCAATAGCAACAACACGCAGCACAGCAGCAACATCAATCAGCAGCAGCAACAGCAGCAGCAGCAACAGCAGCAGCAGCAACAGCAGCAGCAGCAACAGCAGCAACAGTTGCAGCAGCAACAACAGCTGCAGCAGCAGCAACAGCAACATCATCACAGCAGCAGCAGCAGCAACACATTGAAGAACATATTCGCATCGGCAACGCTGCCCCGCTCGACGGGCAGCTCCATACGCTCCGTGCTGTCCGCCCAGACGGCGAATGCCATTTGCAAGTCGACGGGCAACGGCCTGGACGCGGCTGATGTACTGATCGACGATCGTGATCCGCGCGATGTCACCAACAACAGCTTCAATCGCTTCGATCCCAAGTACATCAGCATCGGGCCCAAGGCGGTGCGTGGCAACAACAATTTGAATATTGTGGCTGCCGCCACGGCCAATAGGTGCGCCACGCTGCGGCATGTCGGTCGCTATGGTGGCTCCCTGAAGGGCGCCTCGCCGTCGCCGAATTTGCGCAGCGCCAAGACGCCATCCATAGCGACAGTGTCCAAGGATTACTGCCAGCAGGCGGAGTGCATGCCGCAGGTCTATGCCGCCGGGTCGACGGACATGCTGGTGCCCAGCTCGACGACGCAGGTGGTGCAGCAGCAGCAGCAGCAACAGCCACCTCCACCACCATCGCAACAACAGCAGCAGCTGCAAATGCAGTTGGTGGTGCAGCAGGTGGCGCCACCACCGCCGCCGCCACAGCAGCAGCAGCAGCAGCAGCTGTTGCAGCCACAGCCCGCACCACCGCCACCACCCAAGCCAAAGATAGTCAACACCTTTACGGAAATACCCGGTACCACGGGCGTGGGCAGCTCCTATGCCAAGGAGCAGCAGCAGCTGCTGGCGCTGCAGCAGCAACAACAGCAGCAGCTGCTCGCCTTGCAACAGCTGCAACAGCAGCAGCAGCAGCAACAGCAACAGCAGCATCATCATCCACCGACCACACACATTCTGCCCCCCTCGGCTGTCTACAGCATTGAGAGCAGCAGCGTCTATCCGGCGACGGCGGCAGCAGCAGCGCAGCAGGTAGCACCAACGGCGGCGCCACGCGTGCAGCGCTCCCTAAACCCAGCCTCGATAGTCAATCAGCCGCTGCCGGAGATACCCGTGCAGTCGCCCACCGGCAACAGCGGCATGCCCGGCACACAGTCGAAGATCTCATCGCAGCCGCTGTGCGCCGCCACCTTGGGGCAGTATCGCTCGCTGCAGCGGCCACAAACAGCGGCACAGCAGAAGCTGCAGCTTGCCGCGCAGCAGCAGCAACAGCAGCAGCCGCCTTCGCTGCCGCCCAAGAATCGGCACAAGAACTCGCGGGATGTGAACAATGCGAATCATATGCAAACGTTGCCGCCCAAATCTGCGAGCCTGCGCCAGCAGCAAACCGCCAGCTTTGGCTATGAGCGCGACAGAGAGCGCGACCGCGACAGAGAGCGTGAGCGGGAGCGAGAGCGTGAAAGAGATCGCGAACGGGAGCGACCACGTCGCGCCGAAACGCTGGACAATGCGCGCAGCTACGCCGAACAGCAGCAATACGGAGCCCAGCCCCTGCTCAGCAGCATGAAGAAGCAGCACTCCTACGACAGCAGTACCTACCACCACCAGCAGCAGCAGCAGCAACAGCAGCAGCAGCAGCAGGCGGCCTACTTCCAGCGGCAGCACAACAACAACTATCATGGCACAGTTTCGAGCAGCGCCAGCAGCAAGCATCATCAGCAACAATTGCTGGTGGAGCAGCAGCAGGCGCTCTTCTATCGCTCGCTAAAGCGCAGCGGTGGAGGCGGCGGCGGCGGCGGCGGCGGCGGCGGCGGCGGCGGGGGCGGGGCTGCTGGTGTTGTGGCAGCGTCTGGCCATGCCAACAGCGATTTGTATTCTGTGACGGAATTGTAGGAGTGCGCCTGCTGCGGCGGCGGCGTTGATGTGCGGCGTGCCACGAACTGTTCGACGGGCACGAGCGCAGCATCAACGGCGCTGCACGCAGCGGCGGCGGCAGCCTCAGCCAGCACACAGACACAAACGCAGCAGCAGCAGCAGCAGCAGACGCAGCTCAGCCAGGCGCCCATACCGCTGCCGCCCAAAAAGCATCGCGCTCAGCAGCAGCAGCAGCAACAGCAGCAACAGCTGCCCTGCAATGCGAATCTGTGCGATGAGCACGAGTACGACGAGTACTGCCCGCAGCAATATGAGTCACAGCAGCAGCAGCCGCAGCAGCAGCAGCAGAGCACACGACATGGCAAACAGCAGCGCGCGGCCACCTTTGACCTGGCGGATGCGCGCGACTACGAGCTGAAGCGTCTGGGCAATCGACGCTCGCAGCAGCAGGCGGCCAGCAGCAAGCGCAATGGCGCAACATCAGCCAGCGACCAGCAACAGCAGCAGCAACAGCAGCAGCAGGGGCAGGGTCAGGGGCATCATCATCATCGCACACACGACCGGGAACGTTCACGCAGCGATCATCGCATTGCCAGCTATGCCTGCGAGGATGCAGCTGCGGCGGCTCTGTGCAGCGCCGGCTCCATGAGCCTGCTGGCAGCCAATGCCAGCGCACAGCAGCAGCAGCAGCAGCAGTCGCATCGCAGCCATCATCAGCAACAGCAGCAACAGCAACAGCAGCAACAGCAGCAGCAGCAGCAGCGACGGGAGAAAACATTCAAAGTATGATTTTTAGAGACGTCATAAAAATTGCCCAGCCCGCGACAAGTTGGCTACAAACACGACAACGACGACGGCGGCGGCGGCGTTGATGTTGCTGCTGTTGCAGCTAAGCGCAGGCGACGCACGCGCTGAACAGCAGCAACAACAACAACAACAACAACAGCAACGACGACGACGACGACGTTGGAGCCAGCCAGCGTTGCGGATTTTTCTAATAATAAGAAAATTGCAAACACAAACACACACACGCGAAATGAAAACCAAAATGTGAAACGATAAACGATAAATTGGCTAATTATATATGAGTCCAGAATGCACCTTTAACTTACGGCCCGCAACACCCCACCCCACCCCACTAAATCCTGCCAACCACGCCACTGAAATGTGTAAACGAAAATATTTGTAGCAATTTGTATTGCCAATTGGCGAAGTTCAATGAAAATCGATGCGAAAATTTGTTCAATTAAGTGAAAAGTGAAGGCAAGTTGCAGCACGTGCAACTTGCAACTAGACAAGCCGTGCCTCATGCAAATGCACACACACACACAACACACACACAACACACACACACACACACACACACACACAACCAACTCACACATACTTGTACATGCCGCGCTCCTGCCCCGCACACAATGCGCCGCTCTATTCGATTCTCATTCATATGTGTTACAGTTGCCAACTGCAGCAGTTGCAGCTGCAGCTGCTGCCCCATTTATCAATTGAAACATCAAATCAAACTTTTGCTCCGTGTTGTTGCCTATTGTTATATATAATTAACGAAAAATCCTTCTTTTTTTTTTGTTTAATATATTTATATATACATATATATACATATATTCATCTACATATATATTAACTATAATTAATCATCAATGTGTTTATATTTAAGTTTAGTGCAGCCTTGTTAAGTCCATCTAAGCTATAATTATTTATTTATGCAACTAAGCAAAGCCCGCCCCTCCCCCAGCTCCCTTCCACCCCTTTATCGACACACGCGCACACACACACACACACACACACACACACACACACACCTAGCCCTCAAACCCAAACAAATACCTGATTTATATTATAAATAATTTTACTACACCCTTTATTTTTTATTTAAAAAAACATTTTTTTTTTTTCAATTTGTTTATTATTTAAAAATCCGTTGCGAAAGCGCAAACAACAACAGCGAAAAGTTCGTAATTTTTGTGACGTCAGAAATCTAAAGAGAAGTAAACAAAAGCAAAACAAAGCACAAAACAACAACAACTGTAATTGTAATTCCATTTTTAAATGTTAAACAGCAGAAAAGCAAAACATAAAAAACATAAAAAAACATAAAAACAAAAATAAAAATAAATAACAAAATGAAAATAAACACTGCAAGCCATAGAAAACCAAGCAAAACACAAACTGTTTAACTATTTTACAATCTAGCAAAAACAAAATAACAACAAAAACAAAAACAAAAACAAATATATATATATATATATATATATATTATATACATTACATACATAAACATAACACATACATAGTATATGCAAAAACTTAATGAAATACGTATATGGATAATTATAATAATAATGCAATTATATATTATTAACGAATGTTCAGGTCAACAACTGCATTTAAAAACAAATTTGTTAGGCGTTATAGATATGCTCCTTTTATATACAAAAAAAAATAAAATAGAAGAAGATATATACGTATATACATATATATATACATATATACATACATACAAGCATACATACCATAACATACTTTACCACAAACTACAAAAGACGTTTGCATGGACAAATGCAACCCCAAATTAATGTACATTACATATTATTAAAAAACAAACACAAAAAACAAACACAAAAAACAAAAACCAAAATAAAATAAAAGTAAAAACAAAAAACAAAAGAGAACACAAATTTTAAATAACGAGCAAGAAGCATGGGAAATTTCTTAAGCACAGCCATATAACACGTATATATAGTTTAAATACATATATATATATATATATATATATATGCCACGCCCACTTAACACAGATATAGACAAATATAAATAATTGCAAAGAAAAATTGAAACTTTCTGCTGTGCAGATGCAAATAAACGAACAAATCAAATGAAGTACGCAATTTAAATACAAATACAAATAAACATTAACAAATTATGATTATTAACAAACAAGTTAAACATTTACTGAAATGTGAACAAAGGCAAATATTTTGCATTCATAAAGCCCGATCGATTCCATATACTTATCACGCGTTGTATATAGTTATAAGAAAAATGCTCCCAACTTTTAACGCTCCACTCTACAACTATCTCTCTCTCTCTCTCTCTCTCTCTCTCTCTCTCTCTCTCGCTCTCTCTCGCTCTCTCTCTCGCTCTTGCTCCACCTGTTTCTGTCTCGCACACAAAACGATTGATATACATACGTAGCGAAAACCTACATTCCACTAGAAAAACAAAAATATATTTGTATATTCCTCAAACTCTTTCATGTTCTGCCCTGCTTCAACCTCTGCCAAACAGTTGGTGGTCCCCATTTTCTCTCAGTGTAGTAGTCACAAAGTTGGTTGTTGCACACAAAAAATCGCTCAATATACAAAAGAATCAAATGATAAGCAAATAAAGAAGTTAACAAAACACCGTAAATTAGTTCAGTCGGCATTTGGCAACAATTATGCAATATTTATACACTTAACAGCCATTGTTACAGGCTGTTTACACTTGTATATATGTAGGTACGTTTACCGTTTAATCTTTATAAGTAGAGACAACTGCAACGGCAATTTAGATGCATATATACATATATATATATATACATATATTTATATATACTTACTATGAATATGTGTGTGGTTCATACATGTACTCTTTTTTTTGTTAGGGTGCCGCAAAAAAATAATGAAAAATAATGAAAAAGAAAAGGAAAAAAACTAATAAGAATTCAAGAAAATCTGTTTCAGAAAGTAGCGTAGTGTAGTGTTGTCTACCCTATAAGGCCAAAATAGTTTTTAGCACATCTAAGAAATTCAATATAGAAAATAGCAGAAAAAAAGAAAAGAAAGGAGAAGAGAAGAGAAGCAAACAAAATACCAAATAAACAAAAATGAGCATGAGCGAAATGCTCGGTTAGGCAGGTATTTACAATACGTATAGCATTTAAATATAAGGCAAACGATTAATGATATTAACAATGATGATAATTATTAACAAATAAATTGCAATTCAATGTAAAGAATGCATAGCGTATGTAATACAGCGGAATTAACAAAACAATACCCATAAGAAACGTTTAGCTAAGTATTAACAACAAACTAGCGCACTTTTTCTTAATAAGCAATTCAAATCGGGTGAAAAACCACAAAAAAGAAAATTGTTCAAAAAAAAAAAGTGAAAAGAAAAACAAAATACGAGTAACCCATACTTACAGTAAGCGAGAAGCAAGACGAATTTTAGAGTGCGCCGTTTTTTTAATTAAATTAAGATGTATTTTAATCATGGTTTTTTTTTTTTTTTTTAAAGGGTTTCTTTCTTTTTTATTTTTTTTTGGACAGCTGCGAATATACGATTAATACGATCAACACATGTACGTTTATTTATGTATGTTCCAAACTCCTGTTATACAACAATTTCAAAGCGAATTATATGAATTATTGTAATAACAATATAAGTCTGTACATTTGTTAACATTTCTAAGCTCGTAAGGTCTTAAGGAAAAAGACCCAGCGTACATCTATGTCGTCTATGTAGTAGTTGTAGTTAAACCAAATTACAATTATAAAACAGATCATATTAACAAAACAAAATCGTGTGAATTATACAGTAATGATTGATTGATTGATTGATTATGATAATTGTTGAAAGCAACTGCTTAAAATCAAAAAAAAAAAATAAATACAAAACAAAAATAATGAACGAAAACAAAAACCATAAAAATTAAAAACAAACAAATAATTATATAACAGTTGTGAACAAATTATATTTACATAGCGTATAAATAAATTGCATAACAATTGATTTAAAATAAAGCAAATGAGTCGTTTTAAGCCGCCAATTCCATTGGCCACTAAGTATCGATGCCAAATTGTACTCGATTATCGAAGAAATGCAAACGTAGTTGCGCCGGCCCTCGTATCAGCTGTTTGTGGCGGCGCGTCAATAAGTTATCGATACCTGCGGCTACAAATACTCCAATACGCTAAGCACGGGACAATAACAAGCCATAGAATTACCAATAGAAACGACAACAACGACAACTAAAGCCAGGAACAATGCAAAAGCTACTCCGTGGCGTTGCATGTTGCCAACATGCCGCCAACAGCGGAGTGAACGTTAACCAGTTGCATATACCACGTACGCAGCAGCTGGGCCGCCGCCTGCTGAGCACCGCGACTGGCCATGCATCAGATGCGGCCGATGAGCAGGTGTTGAGCAAGCGAAAATTTCAGCCACACGAAGCCGTCGATCCCAACGAGAAGCTGGCCGGTCAAGTGCCGGGACAGGCGCGTGTGGTCATCTGTGGTGGTGGCATAACTGGCGCCTCGGTGGCCTACCACCTAGGCCTGCAGGGCTGGGGCGGCGAGACGCTGCTAATCGAACAAGACGGCGTTGGCGGCGAGCTGCCCTGGAGTGCTTGCGGCCTGGCCGGTCGCTTCGAGCCCAGCTATACGGAACTGAAGCTATCGGAGTATTCAATTGATTTAATCAAGCGGCTGACAGAGCGAGGCTTGCCTACCGGCTGGCGGCAGGTTGGCAGTCTGAATCTGGCGCGCAGTTTTGATCGCATGACTTCCTTCCATCGCATGAAATCCCAGGCTGTGGCCTGGGGCATGAACTGTGAGATACTCACGCCGGAACAGTGCAAGCAGCACTGTTCACTGCTCTCGCTGGACGGCATCGAAGGTGGGCTCTGGATACCGGAGGATGGCGTCTGTGATCCGCACCTGGTCTGCCACGCATTCATCGATGAGGCCCGTCGCCTGGGCGTGCGCATTGTGGAGCACTGCGCCGTCAAGAAGATACACAGCGACCACGGCAAGGTGGCGCGCGTGGAGACTACCGGCGGCGATGTGAACTGCGAGTACTTTGTCAATTGCACCGGATTCTGGGCGCGCGAGGTGGGCACTTTGTCCAAGCCCGTGGTAAAGGTGCCGCTCAAGGCCGTCGAGCATCACTATCTGCACACAAAGCCCATCGACCAGTTGGATCCGTATACGCCGTTCGTGCGCGACTTCGACGGACGCATCTTCTTTCGCGAGTGCGAGGGCCACATCCTGGCTGGTGGCTACGAGCGCGAGGCGAAAATGGTCTACGAGGACGGCGTCATACCGCTTTCCCAGAAGGCGCGCCAATATCCGCCCGACTGGGATCACTTTCATGAGCTGCTCGACGAGCTGTTGCAGCGTGTACCCTCATTCCGTGAGGCGTCGCTGGATCGGCTGACGAACTCGCTGCAGGTGTTCTCGCCGGATTGCAAATGGATATTGGGCGAGGCGCCCGAGATACAAAACTACTATGTGGCCGCTGGCAACAAAACGATGGGCGTTTCCGCCTCCGGTGGCATTGGACGTGTGCTCACCGATCTCATTACGAAGGGATCTACGTATCTGGATCTGCACATATTGGACATCAGTCGATTTCTGGGACTGCACAACAACCGCAAGTTCTTGAGGGATCGGTGTAAGGAGGCGCCCGGCAAGCACTTTGAGATCAACTATCCCTTCGAAGAATTTCAAACTGGACGCAATCTGCGCATGTCGCCCATCTATCCGCAGCTCAAGGAAGCGGGCGCTGTCTTTGGCCAGTCCATGGGCTATGAGCGTCCCAATTATTTTGATTTGAATGACAAGCAAGGTGCCTATTCCAGTTCTCTCAATCATTTATGCACTAATCCTTTAACTTCTTGCCTTCAGATGAGTTCGGGCTGCCGCGGTTTCGCATCTCCCAGACGCGCACCTTTGGCAAACCACCCTGGTTCGATCACGTCGCCACGGAGTATCGAGCCTGTCGCGAACGCATCGGCATTGCCGACTATAGCTCCTTCACAAAGTACGACTTTTGGTCCAAGGGCAACGAGGTGGTCGATCTGCTGCAGTATCTCTGCTCCAATGATGTGGATGTCGCCGTTGGCTCCATTATACACACGGGCATGCAGAATCCCAATGGTGGCTATGAGAACGATTGCTCCCTGGCGCGTCTCTCCGAGCGGCAGTGAGTAAAGCAGCGAATCTCTTAATCTCCAGCAGCACGCATCCAAAATGCTCT